CCATTTTTTTTCAGATGACATTAAACATTTGCACAGTTAAACTATAAATTCAAGGAAATAACACCCAGAGCTCTTAGTAAAATTGTAAGTTGGCTCAATAATAGCAGATGAGCTGTAATAAAACAAGAAAAAGGCAATTGGGGGAAGATTATCTTAACATACTCTTGTTAGATGATAGATTCTAACCTTTATATTTTGACCTATAAATGAAATTTAGGGATTTCTGTAGACTTCTTCTATGTTCACTAATATAATTTGTTAGCTGTGATAAAAAGGATGTTAAAACACCATGCCTCATCGGAAGCACTGGAAACAAAATAAACTGTCCCACCCTTATAAAGAAATCTTAACGCACACTTCCTGCAGTTTTGGTTGACATGCTTCAAGGATAATGTAATGGAACTGGAAAAATTTCAGAGGAAAGTGTGTAACCCGATCGAGGGATTATAAGAATCCCAGATGAGGCTAAGATTATATTAACTAGCAAATCATGAAAGGTTTTGAATAAAGTAAATATAGATGGATTTAGCAAATCCTGAAAGACCAGAGCTATAGTGTACCCCTTTGATGTTTGAAATACAAATTTGCAGAAGAACTAAAAGGAAACACATTATTATTTCTCAAGGAGGAGTAATATTAGCAAAAAAACATTGTATCTCAAAGTTTGGCTTTTGTCAATTTCAAAGAAAATCGTTATATTTACATATAATGTAAATGTACCAAACAGACAGAGCCAACTCATTGGAAAAGACCCTGATGCTGGGAAAGATTGAAGGCAAAGGAGACGGGGGTGGCAGACGATGAAATGGTTAGATAGCATCACTGACTCGATGGACATGAATCTGAGATAGTGAAGGACAGGGGAGCCTGGCGTGCTGCAGTCTATGGTGTCACAAAGAATCCGACACGACTTAGTGACTGAACAACATCAACATATTCTAATATGCAAAATTTCCTGTATATTGTCTCTGATCAGTGACCTCCCCTAACAGTTAGGCCCTATCGATAGAAAAAGGAGTGAGAAGCTTCCTCTTCTCAACCTCGATTGAGATAACACACAATCTGCCTTTTTATGGTTGTTGTTTTAAGGCGATTTCAAGGAAGAAACAGAAGAGCCTTTATAATTGTTTTCTCTCACTGCCGAACTGTCGTGGTAGAATGTGTTCCCAAAGCACAACAGTTTTCCACTTTATAAGGAAATTTAGTTGGGATTAATTTCGTTGTCCTAATTAGAACTTCACAGTTTGGTTAATCCTCAAATTCATTGAAAAGAAAACATTCAGGGTTTCTTTATGGCACTGATCCGCCAGCTCTGCAGAGGCAGTTCGGATGGACCGAGGTCTCTGAAGCTTTGGTGACCTTACTTACGCATTCCCACCCACCTCTCCTGGCTCTGCTCCCAGCCCGGCTACCACTGCAGCCCCCCTCACCTGCCCTCGGGCTTTGGGGAGGAGGCAGCACCTCTAGGCTAGGTGTTTTTGCTCAGGAAAGATGTCAGGCTTCCTGGGGGCATCAGGCTTTGAGCTCCACCAGGATCGGCCGGCCTGGCACCGGGCCTCACCCAGAGATGTGCCTCGTTTGGTGCCTCTCTGTAAGGGCTGTGTTTGTGTTCATCGTTCAGTTCTGTCCAACTCTTTGTGACCGCATGGACTGAAATCCACCAGGCTCCTCTGTCCGTGGGATTCTCCAGGCAAGAATACTGGAGTGGGTTGCATTCCCTTCTGCAGGGGATCTTTCCAACCCAGGGATCGGACCCGAGTCTCCTGCATTGCAGGCAGATGCTTTACCTTCCGAGCCACCAAGGAAGCCCCGGAAGGACTAGGGAACAATTTTGTCATTGTGCCAACTTCACTCAGTTAACTCACTTGAGAAACTAACCATTTCTTGCTTGGTCTAGAATGATGAATGTGTAGCAGAGTGAACCATAGTGCTCCCCAAGTGCCCTTTTTTTCCCCTCTGATATAAATATGTTTATAAGGACCTGGTCCAGTGATTCTTGGATGTGTTTGCTGCATCGAGATGTTAGGGACGGGGTTTGTATGCAGTGGGGATACAGTCTGAAAATGGGTCCCCCTCTGTGAAGATGGGAAAGGAGCTCAAAGTGGAGATCGGAGCAGTGAGGTTAAACCAAACCCCTGAAGTGACCCTTTCCTCGTCACCCTACTTCTCTGAGATTCTTAGGAGGGTGTTTTTCAAAACCCAGTGCTCCAAGCCTGGTCTCATCTGAGTCTCTAGCAGGTTCACGTATGAACCACATTAGACACCAGTAACCTGAAGACTCTGTGTAATTGTTTCCTGTGTACACGTGAATACATAAATGCCAACATTTTAAATAATTTGAAAATGTCTTTGTAGCCATTCAAAAGAAATATCAGGGTTTCTTAAGAGTGAATTAGGAAAAAGGAAGTAGATAATTGATCATACTATTTTAGGGAAAGAGTTTTCCCCACAATAGAGGGTGGGCTATTTGGGCATGAAAAAAATAGGGCAATTTATTTAAATAATGAAACAGACAAGCAAACATCTTTCAAAAAACAAAACTAGGCTCTATGTGATCTTAATAAGACAAACTTTAGGGAAAAAATTGCATGTGTAAAGCATTAATTTATTATTTTATAAAATATACTGTACAGATTTATTTTGAAAAAATTTTATTGGCATATAGTTGATTTACAAAGTTGTATTAGTTTCTGTTGAACAGCAAAGTGAATCAGTTATACCCATCCATATATCCACTCTTTTTAAGATTCTTTTCCCATATAGGTCATTACAGAATATTAAGAAGAGTTCCCTGTGCTATATAGTAGGTTCTTCTTAGTTATCTATTTTATATATGGTAGTGTATATATGTCAGTCCCAATATCCCAATTTATCTTTCTCTTTTCCACTCCCTCTCCCCTCCTCCCAGCAATAATTTTTTTGATTCCACATATAATCAATATCATGATATTTGTCTTTCTCTGACTTAACTTCACTCTGTATGACAATCTCTAACTCCTCCATGTTGCTGCAAATGGCATTATTTTGCTGTTTATTATGGCTGAGCAATATTCTATTGTATATATCTGCCACATCTTCTTTATGCATTTCTCTCTTAATGGACATTGAGGTTACTTCCATGTCTTGGCTACTGTAAATAATGCTGCAGTGAATATTAGGGTGCATGGATCATTTCAAATTATGGTTTTCTCTGGATATATGCCCAGGAGTGGATTGCAGGATCATATGGTAGCTCTATGTTTAGTTTTTTAAGGAACCTTCATCCTGTTCTCCATAGTGACTATACCAATTTACATTCCGCCATCAACAGTGTAGGACAGTTCTCTTTTCTCCATACCCTCTCCAGCACTTGTTGTTTGTAAATGTTTTAATGATGGCCAATCTGCCCTGTGTGAGGTGATATTAATCTTACTGTAGTTTTGATTTGCATTTCTCTAATAATTATATACTATATAGATTTTTAATAGTTCAGAGTTGACAGCCTGGGATAACCTAAAATGTGAAAGCTGTGGCAAGTGACCTAAATATAGTTTTTAATAAAATATACTTTTAAGGGAAGGGGAGGGATAAATTGGGAGATTGGGATTGACACATACACGCTACTGTATATAAAAGAGATAACCAATGGGGACCTACTGCATATCTCAGGGACCTGTACTCAATACTCTATAACGATCTACGTGGGAAAAGAGTATGTGTATATGTATAACTGATTCACCTTCCCGTACAGCAGAAACTCACACATTGTAAATCAACTATACTTCAATAAAAATCAGTTAAAAATTAAAATATACACTTTTTTTTGGAATCCCCTCCTGATCCAGTGGTTAGGGCTTGGCACTCTCACTGTGGGGGCTGGGGGTGGGGGTCCAAGATTTTATCTGTAGTAGATGAGCTAAAATCCCATAAGCCTGGCAGCCCAACCCCTTCAAAAACAAATACACTTCAAAAACTTTTTAATGAAATATATAGGTTCATAAAAATGTACAAATCATAATATATGGTTCAATGGATTTCCATAAAGTGAATCACATTTCTGTAACCACCACCCTAATGCCATATCTATATCTACCTAGCGATCTATAGATGGAGATAGACAAGGCATGGAGTTCTCATCAAATACCAAGAGTATTGTATTTATATTTTTAAGAAGTTAGAGGTTAAGATTTAATTACAGTAGGATAGAGTTTAACTTTTATGGAACTTTAGCTTCTAAAATAAATTACTGTGGTCTTCACCTTTTAAACACACAGTTTAATAGTCTCACAGTGATTCTTTTGAATATAGGAGACGTGAGCATCGCAGAGTTTAGATGGTAGAGAGCAAAGTGTATCCTTTGTTGATCTGACACATAGACCCATCATTCAGATTTACTGTTCAACCTGATTGAGGCCACTAATACTGCAAAATTCTATTTTTTAAAAGGAAGATTTTTAAAACGAGGAAAAAAATGCACACATTACAGCAAACAATGAGAGGAAGGAACTAACTTTCTAGAAACAAATTTTCTTAAATTAAGTACCGTGACTAAGTACTTTAATTCCTTTTCTTCCAGCCCTAAAGGATCATTTGCCAGTGAACCTTTTAAGTTTAATGGGGAGTCGCCCGAACTCTTTGCTCTTGGGGGGTTGGGGGGGGGTTGCGGGGCTCACAGCCCCCGCAGGCGTGGCCGGACCAGCCCGAGCCTCTCCCCTCCCCACTTCCTCGCCCCCCTCATTCCGCCGCCCCCGTCGCCCACTCCCCCTCTCTCCTCCCCCGTGACCCTTGACCCCAGCTAATCTGCATAGAGGAATGACAGGCATCCGCTGGGCAGGATCCGCCGCGCCGGCTGCGGCCGGCCGGACTGGGAGACCCGCGAAGCGGGAGAAGGTGAGGGGACTCGGCGGGCAGCTCCGCACCGACTGGGAAATGAACGCTTGGAACTCTGTCTGCGAGCGGACCCATGATCCTAGGACCGAAAGAGCCGCGTGATCGCCAGAGCTGGCCCTGCGACCCGAGACATGGGCCAGACCTCGGTCTCCACGCTGTCCCCGCAGCCCAGCAGCGGTGAGTCCGGGGCGTGCGCGATGCGCTCCCGCCGCGCGGGCGCGGGACCCGCTCGGGGCAGCGGGGGCGGCCGAGGGCTCCGCGGCGAGCCGGACTCTGGCCGCACCGGCCGAGTCCCTTCGAGAAACCCGAGAGGTAGCGCTCCCCCAAACTCTTTGTCGTGGAAAAGTGGAATGCCTTTTGGGATCCAGCCGATTTTACCTTAAAGGCACAGGCTCCATTTTCTGTCGGAGATGCCTCGCTTTCGGGTCGGTCTGAATCACTTCTGAGCCTGAAATTTACGAGAAACGCCATATGCGTATTGCTTTGTGTTTAAAACGCGAAACTTAAAGAGCAAGATATACGCGCCAACAGGTTTCTCTGTATTTACACTTGGCTTCTGAGCAGACTAGAACTGAATTCTTTCAAGCTTGTCAACTGATTTATGGTTTGTTTTTTTGGAGTAGAGTGCTGATTGCCCTCTCTTATCCAGGCAGAATGTTGAACACTTAGTAACAGAAAAAAAGCTTAATTGTTTTAAATGATACTTTTTTATTAGACAGGCTATAAAACTAGGGGAAACTTTTCATGAACTCAGTTATCGAGTTTTATGGAAACGTGTGTAATGTTTCTGAGCTCTGTTGCCCCGTTTGAAGTATCATTTTTTTCATTTTCTTAAAAAAAAAAAAGGAAGGAAGGTACGTATGTCTGGCGTTTCTCCAGTAGTGTAGGGACAAACAACCTTTTGATGGGGATACTTGTGCTTGGACAATGAGACAAGTTTAAAAGGTACTGTTTTGACATTTTTTTCCATCAAGAATTAAAAAAAAAAAATCCTCAGAGGGAGAGTTTAAGTTATTTCTTGAGATATTTGATGCACTTTGCAAATTGAGTAAACATCAACAGGATCTTGCTGAAAGGAAATGACAGGGCAGAGATGAAGTTTTTTTGTTTGTTTGATTCTTGTTTTTAATCAGTTCCAGGATGTCTCTTAACTCGATAGGATTCCACCATTCCAGCTTCACCCCACTTGGGTTTGTTTAGATTGCAGAACTTCACTCTCTGAAATATAATAAGGTTTTGCCTCAGGAGAACCAACCCCTCTGCAAAGGAAAGAAAGCAGAGTCCAGAGGAAATCACACCTTCCCTTACTGTTCATGACAAGGTTGTACAGTGCAGCGGAACAGAAGAGACTTCATATTGATAGTGTTTGGGGGGGGTTTGGAGGGGAGTGTTGATTAGGATCTTAATCTCAGTATAAACTATTTTGTGCAATTAAGACTTACTCTCATTTGTCTTACTTTAAAGCAGAGTGACTTATTTCAAGAAAAAGTTATATATTTAAATTTCTGCACTGCCAAAACATAGGATTAGATGAGTACCCTGGTACAACAGATATAAGTACTGCTCTGAATTTAGTTTTTTAGCCACACAGTATTGTTAGGGTTAATATGTAAAAAAGTGAATTTTGCTTTAATAAAAATCAAGGAATGTTACATAAATGATGTTAAGATGCAGAGAAGAATCCTAAAATGCAACCTCTTGGGTTGTGTGAGTGCTCAGTTCTGTTATAGTCTGAGACCCCATGGACGGTAGCCCACCAGGCTCCTCTGTCCATGGGCTTTTCCGGGCAAGAATACTGGACTGGGTTGCCATTTCCTTCTCCAGGGAATCTTCCCGACCCAGGGATTGAACCTATATCTCTTGTGTCTCCTGCATTGGCAGATGGATTGTTTACTACCGTGCCCCCTGGGAAGCCCTCCCAGCTCTTACCCAGTACAGCAAAAAACACCCAGATTGCTATAATTCCTAATACACTGATTAATCACGTCAAGAAATTGGGCAGTTTATTAAGACAAAAAGTAACTTAAAAAATTATGCTTGACCATAAAAGATATTTCAAAGAAATATCTCATGGAATGGTGTTATAATTAAATAATAGGTTCTCTGTTTAGTTGATTAAAAGCTTGTATATATTGAAGTGACCAGTCCAGACATCGTGAGTAGAGGGTTTCTTGGTTTGGTTGGTTTAGGGCTGGTGGTTGCTATGATTGAAGTTTTTTAATGGTTAAAAGCAGGCCGATTTTCTCATGATACCCGCTTAGGTCCTCTAAGTGTATTATTATCACTCCATTTCCCTGAAGTTTTGCCATCAGATTCCAAATGAAAATGAAAAAAGCAACAGAAACAGAACATGTGGTTGCCATATCTAAGTTTTGTGTTCACGTTGGTGTTCTCTGAGTCTGAAAACACCAAACCCTCTACTCTTCCAAGTATCACGTTGAGTCCTTGTTAGCTGTTTGCCACTGGCTTCACAAGTGGTGTGAAGATACTTGTTCATGTCATCTCAGTTATGTGCTAGGTGTTTCAGTCTAGAGTGGCTGCTGGGGGTTACAGTGGTGAAGATAATTGCCATGTTAAATGCTTAACAGAATCTGAGTCTAAGGAGTCGATAGTAGCACAGAGTCCAGTCGTTTACAGCTGTCACTAGACATGGTCTTTTGTAAAAATCAGCTCTGTAAGCCACCGGTTAGCGTGCTTCTCATTTTCCATTTCAGGCCCTTTTGAGCCCTTCAGTTTAGGATTCCATCTATTTCTCTGGGTTCTAAGAAGACCAGTGATAATTAATTATTGCTGAAAACATGCAATTAGAGTCATTATTTCTATTTTTTTTTAAACAGCTTTATTGACATATAATTAGCATACCGTTTTTCAGTATTTTCACAGTGTTCTGCAACCATCAGTCCCTATTCCCATCCTTCTCAACCCTCCATTCCTAGACCTAATTAACCACGAATCCACTTTCTGTCTCCGTAGGAAAAATATATGTAAGTGGGATCATACAACACAACATGCCTTTCATGACTGGCTTCTTTCACTTAGCATGATGTTTTCAAGGGTCTGCCGTGTGTAGCATGTATCAGCGCTTCATTTGTTTTGTATTGCCTAATGATATTCCACTGTATTATCCATCCATCAGTTGGTCATTTCAGTTATTAATATTTTTACTTCTTGTCTCTGAATGGTACTGCCATGAACTTCAGGTAAAAGTTTTTCTTGAATATATTTTCATTTCTCTTGGGTAACAGCAGGATTTCTAGGAGTGGAATTGCTGGGTCATATGTTAATTCTACATTTATGTTATGTTTTAAGGAGCTACTTGTTTTGCAGAGTGGCTGTACCATTTTCCATTGCCTCCAGCAGTGTATGAAGGTTCCAGTTTCTCTGCGTCCTCATCAACATTTGTTATTATATTTTGATTATGGCTATCCAATAAGTGTGAAATGTATTTCATTGTGATTATGATTTGCATTTCCCTGATTACTAATGACTTTGTGCATCTTTTCGTGTGCTTATTGGCCATTTGTATATCCTCTTTGGAGAAATGTCTATTCAGATCTTTTGCCTAATTTTAATTAGCAGTTTGACTTCCTATTATTGCATTATAAGAGTTCTTTGTATACTGGATACAAACCCCTTATCAGATAATATGATTCGAAGATTTTCTCCCCTTCTCAGAGTTGTCTTTTCACTTTTCTGATCCTATGATTTGCAACCAAAATTTTTTATTTTGTCCAGTTTATCTATTTTGTTGTTGTTTGCATTTTTGGTTTCCTTACTCAGAAACCATAGCCTAGCCAACAACAAGATTTACACATATGTTTTCTTTGAAAAGTTTTATAATTTTCGCTCATACGTTTAGGTCTGTCATACATTTTAAGTTAGTTTTTATGTGTAGTATGATAGAGATTGTGTTGAACTTGTAGATTAATTTCAGTGATATTGTTAGCAATGAAGTGTCTCAACCCATAAAGGCAAGGAATAGAAATGGACAGTGTCTTTCCATTTAATTCAGATCTTTGATTTTTTTTCCCACAATGTTTATTAGTTTTCAGTGTATTAAGTCTTATCATTCCTTTGTTGAATATATTGCTTATCAGTATTTTTATCATTTTGTGCTATTAAAATAGCTACTAAAATTTCATTTAAAAATGAAATTGCATTCTTATTTCATTTTCAGAATGTTGCTTGCCAGTGATAGAATATAGGTTTTTATATATTGGTTTATATATTGATTTTTATGTATTGATCTTGTCTCCTGTAAATTTGCTGAACTCAGTTTTTTAGTCCTAATAGTTCTTTAGTGGATCCTTCAGCATTGCTATACACAAGATCATATTATACACATTATATACAAGGTCATGTGCAAACAGAGATACTTTTACTTCGTCTTTTCCATCTGAATGTCTTTTCTTTTCCTTGTCTAATTGCCGTCACTTTTTATACAGTATAATGTTGAGGAGAAGAGGCAAGAGTGAATATTCTTGTCTTGTTCCTCATCTAGGGAGGAAAGCAATCAGTCTTTCAACATTAAGTGTCATGTTAGCTGTGGGTTTTTCATAGATGCCCTTTATCAAGAAGTTCCCTTCTAGTCTTAGTTTTGAGCATCTTTATCATGCAAATGTTAGATTTTTGTCAGAGGCTTTTTCTTTGCCTTGATTGAGATGATCATAAGGGTTTTGTCCTTCATTCTATTAATATGGCATAAAACATTAATTTCAGATGTTAAACCAACTTTGTATTCCTGGGATATAAAGTCTGCTTGGATATGATATGTAATCCTATTTACATGTTGCTGGTTTTGATTTCCTATTATTTTATTGAGAATTAGATTTATTATTTCTAAGCACAGGCTAAACAAGTGTGTCCCCAAATAGTGTGGTTTCCATGCCCTCTAACCTCATGCCTTAGAAGAGTTGAGATGCCTCGTATTCTCATTGCCAAGTACAGGGCATAATAGATTGGATACAAAAGAAGTTTGTTGAGCATGTGAATGAGTCAACAAATATTCTCAGTGCAGTCTGACTACTTTAAGCCAATGATTATGTGAATGAGAATTTTGTATTATTTTTATTCTTTTTAACTTCAAAAATTGCATGCTACTCTGGCTCTGTTGTCTGAAGGATGGTATCTGAGCCTAGTAACTATTTCTTTCGGTCTTCAGCCCCACCCCATGCTCA